GCACTTTCCACATTCTTGGTTTTATTATTATTGTTATTTGTGAATACGAAGGAGGATCTTTATGAAAGTCCTACTTTCATGCCTTATTGTAGCTTGAGGATAGTGTCCAACTTTCTAGTCATGTGAGCATGATCAGATAATTTTTGAGCTTCGGTTTCCTCTTCTGTAAAATGGGAATAATAATATTTTCATGACTTCCTTTATAATAGTGTTAAAGAAAACACTTTATAAATGTAAAGTACTATGGAAGTGTATAGTTATTATTCCTCCACTAAAACCTTATTGTTGAAGTCTGGAGGTGACCTTGGAGGTAATGCCAAAGAGGACAAGCTCCTTTAAGTTCTACCAACCTTCAGTAGTATGGGATCCCTGTCCTTGGAGCTGCTAGTGCTTTTTCTCTTTAAGGTTACCTTGTATGGATCATGTGAATAACTATAAACATGTGTTCTTCTCCATTTGAATGTAAAATTCTTGAGAGCAGGGACTGTTTTTACTTTCTTTATCTTCCTAGAGCTTAATGTAATGGTTGGCACATAGCTAGAGGTTAATGAATACTTGTTGATTGATTGAGTGATAGACTGTGTGTCTATTACCAGAGGACCAGCCTAGCTAAATGAAGAGAGATTCATTACCAGAATATTGACCATTAGGGGATGATTTTTTTTTTTTGGCGACAGCAAATTAAGTCATGAGAAAATTGTTATCTGTATCAGTGGGAGAAGTACCTATGCTGATGATATCTGAAGTATTTTGCATAGATTTTTTTTACAATAACATATTTTCTATAACACTACATTTTACAAAATACTTTAACCAGGATCTTACAGTTACAACATAAAACAACTCTTTGAGGTAGGTAGTGTAGATTATATTATCTCCATTTTACCAAGGAGAAAACTGAGGCTTTGAGAAGGGAAGTTAGTTGCCCCATGCCACACAGATACAGAATTAAAAATTGAACCCAGATATTTTTGAATCCCCAAGGTCAGGATTAGTCCATCTTATTGCTAGAACCTACCACTTACAAATTCTCTTTATATCCTGTCTTTTTTTTTTCTTTAAGGATTAAAAGACAGGTAATTATAACAGTTCTCATTTATGTAATACCTTAAGGTTTACAAAGCACCTTCTACCCTATAGTTCTGTGAGGTTAGTAGGGCAAATATAGTCATCTCCCTTTGACAGATGAAAAACCTGAATCCTGGAGGAGAAAAGTGACTTGCCTAGTTACATGACTAGTAAATGGTGGAGCTGGGATTTGAACCCTGGTCTTCTGCCAGTACTTTCCACTCTACATACTGCTGCTCATACTCGGACTAAGGACTGGATGGGCATTTGCAAGGCACCAAGTATTTAAATATGACAAATTCCAACCAAGGCATTTGCAAGGCACCAAGTATTTAAATATGACACATACCTTTTTGGAATGGTAGCTGAACCTGTATATTTTAACTATCTTAGAACCTGAAGCCTGGAGTAAAACTCATGAAGGTACATAATTTGTGAGATCACAAAGCATTACCTTATAAAAAGCTGGGGTGCATTTGTAACTTAGAATTTTTCTGACCTGTTGTGCAAAATAATTCAATCATATGAGCCTTCCCCTCCCCCAAGTGAGCCTTGCTTTCGTCCCCAATCACTTTAATTATGTGAGCTTGAATCTCGTTTCTCACACATCCTCAGCTCTCAACCTTGTTAAAATTAATCATATAATCCTTCTTTAAAACATAGTATTAAGTCACCATAGTAACATCGCATCCAAGCTTTATAGATAAAACATAACAGTCACAAGAAGGTAGCATTGGGTGTCCCCTCAACAGCTCTGTAACTTTTATAGAAATGTGTTTCTTCTCTTGGCTTGTTCAGGGTGGAGGATAGCATTACTTACACCTGTTTTATTACCATGTTCCTTTTAAATTGCTACCTTGTTTCTGTTCATATTCTTGGTTAAACCTGGCAGAAGAAAGTATTTTCCTTTCCTTCTGAATTATTTTCTTGGCCTCAGCAATCAATCTCCCGACAATATAATTTTCCCCCTTCAAATTGAAATAGGACCTCTCCCTAGACCTTTGTCGTGGGAAAATCTTGTTAAAGTGATGATGATAATGGTAGTGGTGGTGGTAGTGATAATGAAAATGATGGTGATGATGATAATGATGGGGGGAATGGGGATGGTGATAAACATTTGGGCTTTACGTTCTTTTAGATGAAAAAGATTTACAAAATACTTTTTTGCCCGTAACGTTCTAGAGACCCAGTGAGATATACTAGAACCCTGGACAAAGGCAGAGGACCATATGATTTAGAGCTGGAGGGGTCCAGGTCTAACCCTTTATTTGTAGGTAAAGAAGCTAAAACCCAGAGATGGGAAGGAATTTACGCAAGATTAACCAGGTAGTAAGTAGTAAGCTAGGATTCAAAACCAGATTCTGTGGCTACACATCTAGGACTTTTCCCACCACCCCACTTATACATGCTAGGTTAGAAGACCCTGGTTGGAATCCCAGCTTTGTTACCTACTACCCATGTAGAAGTGTGCAAGTCACTTTCCTCCTCTGAGCCTGTTTCATCATCTGTAGACTGGTTCTAATAATATTTCTACTCCTAGACAGGTGAGAAGTATATTCTGTAAACCTTAGAGGCCTACAGAAATGGCAGTGGTTGTCATTCTGCTTCATCTTGACCATAACCCTGGATGGTTGGTGAACAATTCCTTTTCCTACAGTACCTTAAGCTTTGCAAAATGCTTTCCTCATAAGACCACCAGTAGCACAAATATTTTATTTTAAAAATGAGGCAATCAAGACTTAAAAGATCGGGAAGTGCCTTTGCCCAGGGTTACATAGCTAATATGTGTCAGAGCTGGAATTAACCTAGGACTCCAAGTCTTAACACTTTTTTGACTAGCCAGGTGGTCTTTCTTTTTTGTAACCATAGAGCTCTATATAAATGTGAACTGCTGCTATTATTATCATATCCTAGCAACAACACAGTGAGGCAGGAAATATAAGTACTATTATCCCCATTCGACTGATGAGCAAATAGAGGTTCAGACTTGTTCAGTAGAGTTGGTACTTGAACTCTCCTGACTCAAATGTTGGGCTTTCTCCATTAACCCACATTTGCTGGCAGAGTTAGAGGCTATTGGTGTTTGGTGCCTCTAGTATGACGTTGCCAAATAGAACTTGCTACATCAGACCCATTAAAGGTGCTCAGGATCCCAAAGGCTCCTTGAGTCTTGATTTACACATATATCTTTCACCGTGGACTTTTCTTTTCTTTCTTTCTTTCCACGAGTGCTATCTTTAGAGAAGACCACTTCAACTATTATTTACCACCTTATCCTAGATAATGGTATTCATTGATTTGCAAAGTGAATTATGGAGAAGAGCATTTCTTTAATCTTAGTACAGAATACATAGACTTATTTTTGATATTTTACATAGGAAAGAAAATGGTTAAGTTTAAAAGCCCATAAATTCCATTGCAAATTTGAAAAAAAAAATCTGTTAATGCTCAAATCTCATCCGGGACATTTGTTGCATTTCAAGAAGCATTTATTAAGCCTCTGCTGTCCTCTCAGGTCTCAGCTAAGGACTCACACCTGTGTGGCAAGGCTCCTCTTAACCCTTATGTTCCAATGTTTCATGTCCTAAAAGCTCTTTTAGAGCTAACATTAAATTCCAGTATTAGAATTTTAAAATAGCTATATGTGTGTTAATTTAAAAATAATTTTTATTGTATTGTGTTAGTTTATAATGTAGTTTATTGGTCATTGTGCTTTTGCTTTTTTTTTTTTTTAAAGAACAGACGTTGCATTCTAATTTTACTTTAAGGCTTATATGTGTGATGTGCTTTTTATTTTTGTTGTAATGCAGTAAAAACATTGCTTTGTTTAATGCTTTCCTATAGCATTGTTTTTCACCATCTTGGAAAGCAGCTTGCATTGTTAAACAATCTGGCTTTTCTAGGCTCCAAAATGAGCTCCTTTGGGCTTCAAAAATCTTACATGGAAAATGGCATTTGGGAAAGCAAATGCTCACCTTGTTCCTTGTATCTGCAAGTGGTTTTACTAAGTAGTCCTAAGCACTTCTAGACATCATTTAGAATCATGTAATCATAAAACATGAAGTAAAGAGTGAGAGAGTTACTGTGGAAGGGAACCTTGGAAAAAAGAATGACAACTGGAAGGGATATTGAAACACAGAATATTTAGGACATTAGAGCTAGAATGGATCTAAAAACATAGACTGTCAGAACTAGAAGAGAACTTAGAACAGTTTTAGAGCTTGAGAGGACTGTAGAACAAAACTAAAATTTATGTAGTGCTTTACATATACAAGATATCTCAAAAGTCTTTATGTAGTTTCAAGTTAGTGAATTTTAGGACTGCACTAAGACTTTTAGGATACCCTGTATTATTGCATTTGATCCTCATAACCCTCTGAAGTAGGTGCCCCATTTCCCCTCATTTTTGCAGTTGAAGAAATTGAGGCTGAGAAGAGTTGAAGTGACTTGCCCAGGACCACAAAATGATAAATATGTAAGGTGGAAGTTCTTCCTTCTTTGGTCTTCCTGATTCCAAGCCCAGTACCTATTCTAACCTTCCTCTTAACATAGAATGCTAGAACTGACAGAAACCTTAGAAATCATATATTCTAATCTGCTCATGTTCCAGATGAGAAAATTGAAACTCCAGGAAATAATTTAACTTGCTTAGGTTATGCTACTAGTTAGTGACAGAGCCTGGAATTGTCTTCTTTCAATTTCAGGTACAGTGATATATTCTTTCCCAAAGGTGGTCCAGGAGATTGACTTCCTTACTAATTTCCCCTCAATTCTGGTGAAAAATGTAAATGTGCAAGTTCATTTAGAGAACCATAGGCCCAGTGAGAAAGGAAATGTTAAAGGTTCAATGACTTGGTTTGATTAGATACTTTTTTTTTTATCATTTAACTGGTTGCACAATTTATTTTCCCTTTGTTCTTTCTTTCCTGTAGCCTTACAGTGAGCCAAGTTGGCCAGAACTTCACATTTGTGCTTACTGACATTGACAGCAAACAGAGGTTTGGCTTCTGCCGCTTATCTTCGGGAGCTAAGAGCTGCTTCTGCATCTTAAGGTAAGGGGAGGTTGGGCTGTGGTTGTTGGCTTGTTCGAAGATGCAGTATTGGGCCCAGCTTTGTTGCGAATGTAATTTAAGTTTTCCAGCTGTTCTCCATCGTTCCCTATCTCATCCCTGCAGGTCACTGCACTTTGGGCAAAGGATTCCAAAATATTGTTCATGTGCTTTTAAGCCTAGGAAGATAATTTTCATTATTTATTTGTATTTAATGCCTTGAATGAAGGAGTCAATGCCTCTAGGTCATGTGTGAAAGTTGGATGACATAGCTCGAGCTCTTCCTGTTATCTTGAGCTGTCAGAAATTATCTTGTTAAGCTTCTTTTTAAACATTTTGTATATGCAGGATTATTAATAAACATGTGTCTGCATCTAAGACTATCTTGCCAATACTGATCATGTCTTCCTCAGTTTCTACAGAAATTCCTCTTGGAGTTCTGTGGTGGTTTTTGATCCCTCCAGGAAGTCTTTCCAAATTTCTTCTCTGTTCTCCTCCCTCCACCTCCATAGTAGTTTGTTTTCACTTCAATAAATAATTTATGTTTTATTTTATATTATAGTTCGATTTGTGTCATATCCCTGATTAGACCATGGTGTTACTGAATGGCAAGGGTCATATTTTGTTTAGATTTTGTATCTCACCCAGAACTGAATGTAGGGCTGTACTTGTAGTAAATAAATGAGGCATTTTAATGTTGGTTGAAACAAATTATTTTGTGATTGTAGGGGACTAAGGTAATACAGTCATAGAATCATTGAAACTTACACTTGAAAGGGATGTGGAGGTCATCTAGTTCTGCTACTCCTTCCTGAGTAATGAGGAATCTAGTCCTTCCAGAAGTAGCTTCTTTCACTTTTTGAAAATCCTTAGTTTTTTTTATATTGGTTTGAATCTGCCCCTCTTCAATTTCAGCCAGTTGTTCTAGTCTTGCTCTCTTTAGATCATCAGACCAAATCTAATCATTCTTCCACATGATAGATCTCCTCCCCAAAAACAAACAAAACCAAAAACATTTCAACAATAACAACTAGAATTGGTGTTCATATAGTGTTTCAAGGTTTGTTTTGCAGACATTGTCTCATTTGACCCTTACAACAGCCCTGTATTTAAAGAACCATCTCTACTGCCATACCCTGGCCCCACCCCCCTTCTCCTGTGCCCTGGGCTAACTATCACCAGTAACTCCAGTGATCCTCAGGTGTCCCGGTTTCCAATCCTCCTTCCATCCTAGGCACCCTCCTCTATTCCCTGGATCTTTGTAAATCTCCATTTGTGTCCTGGCATTCCATTTGTTTGATGCTTGATTTCCTTCTGCCAGTAATGGTCAGAGTGAATTCTAGTGTGGAGGGGCCGTGTGGAAATTGCATTTCAGCACTGCAGGGTGTTCCTGAGGGAGAATTAAAGGTATCCCATACATACCACTCTCCATCTGCCTCTGTTAAATAGGTGTCAGAGGGGCCTGTCTCCTGTCTCTTGCCGCTAACATGGAGCAGCACAGGTCAGGGGAACTTCAACGTGCCCCTGACAAAACCCTGTTACCAAGAACTTGGATGTGGGCCCCTGAAATGAAAGGCCAGACCTTGGGTGAATTCCAGAAAGGGGATGTCTCTCTGGTGTACCAATTCCCCCATTACATTTTATTTTTTCTTCCTATTCCCCTCCCCCTTTCTCTCTCAAACACAGGCACATGTTACACTGGGGACAGGGGGAGTGGAGCTTCTGTGCTTTCAGGTCTCTTAATTTAAAGTGTTAGACATTGATGGTCTTCTGTACAGACTTCTTGCTCATGCCAGAGGTAGCACCGTATATTAGGAAGAGCATTGCACTTGGAATCAGAAGACCTCCCTTAAGATTTTGGCTCCCTATGTGACCATGAGCCATACATCATCTCTCTGAACCCCAGTTTCCTTGTCTGTAAAAGAGTACTAGAATGGAAGTCAAGGGATCTTGGTCTTAACCAGTTGTAATTGATTTTGGCCAGGTCACCATACCTCATTGGTTCATCAATAAAAATATTTGTACTCCCTACTTGTCAGAATTTTTGTAGTGCCTACTGTCATCACTACTACCACCACCACCACCACCACCACCACCACCACCACCACCACCGCTTGGAGTTCTGAAGGAAGCAAGGGATTCTGAGAGGTAGAGGTGAGGAAAAAGTACATTTTAGGCATAGGGTCAGCTACTGAAAAGATAAGGAGAGAGCCAGGAATGATGACCCAGGCCTGTAATCCCTGTTTCTGGGGAGGCTAAAGCTCAGAAGAGATTAGGGGGTTCTGAGCTAAAGTGTGCATAGAATTCAATGTTGACATTAAATTTGGCGTTAGTATGGTGAGTCTCTGGGAGCAGGGGACCACCAGGTTGCCTAAGCAGCAAACCAATCCAGGCTAGAAACAGAACAGGCTTAAAGCTCTGGTGCTGATCAGTAATGAGAGGAGACCTATGAGTAGTCCTTATATTTTTAGTCTGGGTGAGATAGGAAGATCCAATCTTTAAGAAAAAAAAAAATAAAGAAGAGGCATGGAAACAGGAGAGTGTTATGTGTGAGGAACATAAAAATGGCCAGTTTTGTTGGAATATAGGGCATGAATTGGAGTAAATGCAGTGAGACTGGAAAGGTAGATTTTGACCAGATTGTGAAGGGTTTTAAATGCCAAACAGAAGACCTTATATTTAATTATAAAGGCAATAGAGAGCCATTGGAGTGACACAGCCAAACACACACTTTAGGAAAATCATTTTGCAGTTTCATAGAGGATGGATTGAAGAGTTGAGAGATGAAGTAGAGAGACCAAATAAGAGAAGATTGCAATAGGATCTCCAGGTGAGATAATAAACTAGGTTTGTGGCTATTTGAGTAGAGTGAAGAGGACCAATGTGTGAGATAACAAGATTTGGCAGCTGACTAGATATGTGGAGTAAGGGAGAGTAAGAGGCAGGCACCATACCAAACTTTTAAACCAGAATGCCTGGAAGGGTAAAGATATCCTTGACAGAAACAGGGAAGTGTGGAGGAGTAATGGGTTTTAGAGGAAAGTTTGAGTTGCCTCTGCATGCAGTTTGAAATATCCAGTAGCAGTTGGAAATGTATGACTGGAGCTCAGAAGAGATTAGGGCTAGATATTTTCCATTTGCAAGATATTTGTATAGAGATTTAAAACCTATTAAACTCCCTGGGTGAGAGAGTGTAGAGAGAATAGAAGAAGGCCCAGAAAAGAGCTGTGGGGAACACCTGTCCTGGGGGATTGGGAAATGGAGACTAAAAAGGAATGATTAGATAGTAGGGAGAACCAAAAAAAACAAAACAAAACAAAACAAACAGCAAAGTTATAAAAATCCAGAGAAGACATTCTCCTGGAAGAGAAAGGGTCCCAGAGGGCAACCACTGGGTACAAGTTGGAGAAAAAGTCTCAGCAAATGATCTTTGGGTTGAAAGGATCCTTACTATATAGAATGTTATAACACATACTGTTTAAACTGGAAGTTACTATATAAAATAGATTTTAGAGTCACGGAATGATAGACATTTAGAACATAGAATGTTAGAACATACATTGCTAGAGCTAAAAGAGAATTTAGGGATCTATCCAGTCGACTACCCCCTCAAACCCCAATCATTTTACGGAGGAAGGAACTTATACCTAGAGAGGAGAGCCGTGAGATTTAGAGCTCTAAGAGATCTTGGGAGTTAGAATTAAGTGACTTGTCCAAAGTCATACAGCCAGAAAGTAGCAGGACTGGTACTCCAATCTAGGTGCTCTGTCTACAAATATAGTGCTTCTTCTGTGACACTATGATGAACTATTGCTTGTTGGAATTGAGGCATGTTTATATAGATACAGCTATAGATATATGTGAATGTGTGTGTGTGTGTGTGTGTGTATTTATACACACTTATCTAGCATGTCAGGATAGCCAAAGCTTAGAAATTGTCAGGATGAAATCCACTGAATTTTTACATGACTATGCTTGGTTGTCTTTCTGGTGATTTCAGAAAGTATCGCTGTGTCAGCCCTTTTTGGAAGATCAATGTATTTGCCATTCTTTACATAGTATTATTTTTCTGCCCTAGATGGGAAGTTGAATAACCATTTAATCATTTAGGGTATTGTCTTGTTGAACTCTTTAAAAATGAGAAGCAGGATAATTTAGTAATGGAGAGTTAAAAGACCTGGATCCGAGGACCTCCTCACAGCTCTAACTAATTTTGTGACTTTAGTTAAGTCAATTCTCTTCTCTGGGCCCTGATTTCCTCATTTGTAAAATAAGGGACTTGAACTAAATGCTTGTTTCCCCATTGAAAGTTCTGTGTTCTAACATTTTGTGTTTTAAGGTCCCATGAAATTATGACATTCAATTCTAGAATTTTCTTTCTCTTTTTCTTTCTTTCTTTCTTTCTTTCTTTCTTTCTTTCTTTCTTTCTTTCTTTCTTTCTTTCTTTCTTTCTT